TGAGTGGAGCGCCGCATGGGGCTGAGAGTGACAGTGACGGGGAGGAGGAGGGGGGAGGGAGGTGGAGGGTGAGAGGGGGTGATGGCATGGGTGCTAGCGCTGATCGGCAGCGGCTGAGAGGGGGGTGGAAGGGGTGTTGCAGGTGCTGCTGCTGGCTGTGCTCGTGCTGCTGCTCGCACTGGTGGGCGGGCGGGTGGCGCAGGTGCTGCAGACCGCCACACCCGAGGGGGACGACTTTGTGCCGACGTAGCGGCGGGCACAGCACCAGTGCGGGCCACACGAGGCGGAGTGAACGGAACGATGGGACGTCTGGCAACACCGCAGAGCAGAGCATGCGTACCGTGGTCATTCAGCCATGCCACTGCGGCTGTCCGCCCTGCCCTGCTCGCACTCACCCCATGGCAGCGCACACCCACGGTCCACATGCCCACCCCACCATGTTCCATCGTAGCACCGCACCCTCTGCCACGAAGCCATGGAGCTGACACTGACTGACACCTGAGCACACCCTGAGGGAGAGCACATGAGACCACTTGAGCACCTGATACCCACATGAGGGCACCTGAGAGCACCTGAGTGCACCTGAGCACCTGAGAGCACCTGAGAAGAGGTTGCAGTTTTGTTGTGTGAAGGAATGTCCATGGTGTGGTGCCAGGCACACGGTTGAGAGGTCCATCCCATCCCATCTGAGCCGAGCTCCTGGACCGACCCACTGCTGCACGCGGTTTATGCTCACCTGCCGAACAGCGGAAATGCGCGCCTTGATGTGCTGCCTCGTTTGATGTGAAGCCCCCCCTTGCCTTCCCCAGTGCCTCGCACTGCATGCTCACGTCACGGACCTTATCCCCGCTGTTGCTGTGTGCCTTCTCCCCGCCATGTAGGATTTGATGCGCAAGCATGAGGGCTGTCCATTGTGTAATGTTGTCATGATGGGTTCATATAGCCTAGACTTGTGCTGTGCACTGTAACCAGACTCGTTGACTGAAAGAGGTGTAGTGGTAGGGCCAACATGGAGGGCTTCACGTGCGGCACCGTGCAGCACCGAGAATTGCGGGCGCGAGAGGGAAGCCGCGAAGTTGGCGCGATCTGGCCAGAGCGGAGTCCAGCAGACCGACTTTGTTGCTGCGAGGGCTTCGCGGCGACTGCGGCCGCCACCATCGCACACTCGAGCGTGGCGCGGGGGATCGCCAGCTAGTTCAGGACGGCACGCACCCGCGGCATATAATCTCTCTCATTGGAAGTGAATTTTTGGCGCGCCTGCTCCCCGCGTCTTCCGCGTAATGGATCCCGTTGCCGCCTCTCCCGATATCAACACAACGGACGGCCAGCGATCTTCGTTGTCGCTAGCTGAATCTGGACCGTCCGTCAGTCTCCACGTGGCGCTGCCAGATGGCTTCTCGCTCGCCGCCGCTGTGTGCAGCTACGGATTCTTCATGATGGCGCCGACCGTCTGGATCCCGCCACGTGGCAGCGAATCAACGGCTCCGAGGGGCCTGGAAGTGAAGAGGGAGACGGAGGAGGCGGCGGTGGCAGACCCGGGGAGAGCGGAAGCAAAGAACGGAAAGGGGGACGCGGGGCGCGATGACGAGCGCGGTGCGACGATGCGGGCGGCGGGGAGCGGGCAGCGTGGTGGGGCGAGGGGGAAGCGGTGGGAGAGCATGGGAGAGGGGAGAGCGCGCGTGGGGCGCCATGGAGAGGGCGCTGAGACTGGCGGACGGGCGCGCGGTGATGGTGCGACTCACGCAGCATCGGGCTGCTGACGTCGCACAGCTCGTTGTTGACGTCATGGAGTGTGGTGGCGATGGTGCGGCAGACCAGAAAGGGCCAGACGCTGACGTCAGCTCGTGCGCAAGTGACGTCACAAGAGAAGTTTGCAGCGCTGGTGGTGCTGCTGATGGTCCTGGCGACGGCAGTGGCAGCAGGAGTGGTTGTGACAACAGCAGGAGCGTGCCAGTAACGAGCGGATACTGTCTAAGAGTTAGGGTTATGGGGCTGACTGCAATCTCTCAAGAGGACAGAACACGGCTGTTGGTAAGTCCGTGAGACGTCTACTTTTCGGCTGTTGGCGCGCCATCACGTCTCTGCGCTGCTGCTGCTGCTCATCGCCACTTGCTGTAAACTCATTTTTCTCATCCTCCCCTTCCCCTGACTCGAGCCCCTGCCATCTTCTCTTTGTCTGGCGCTCCGTCCCCCTTTCCCCCGTCAACGCCACGCCATCTCGTGCCATGCCCCTGCTGCGCCTGTGCCCCACGCCATCCATCCCCAACCCCGTCCCCTGCCCCCTGCCCCCTGCCCCCGCTTCCCCCTCTCCGTCCGCCCTCTCCACTGTCTCAGCAACCTCCATGCTTCATCTGCTCCGCACTTCCCTCCTCTCCCATGGCACCGCCCATGCCATTCCTCCCCCCCGATCGCCCCCCACCCCATGTCCCCACCCCATGTCCCCACCCCATGTCCCCACCCCATGTCCCCACCCCATGTCCCCACCCCATGTCCCCACGCGCCCCGCAGTGCCAGGTGCGGCGCATGCTGCGCCTGTCCCCCGCGTGCCTCGCCTCGCTGCGCGCCTTTCATCGCCTGCACCCCGCCGCTGCTGCCGCTGGCTTCGGTCGTCTCTTCCGCTCGCCCGCGCTGTTTGAGGACCTTGTCAAGGCGCAGCTGCTGTGCAACTGTGAGTGGGGGGGGGGGGGCACCTCTGTCGCTCCTGGGTCACTGCGTTCGCACATCATTGCACGCTCGCTGCTCTTCCACTCACCCTCCCTCCCGAGGACCCGGTCAAGATGCGTCCGCTGTGAAGCTGTTGATCAAAGGGGCCTCCTTTTCGCCCCCTCAGGCCTCTTAGTGCCATAAGAAGCTCGTGAAACGTGATTATGGTGAATTCGATGGGTCACTTCGAGGCCCGCCCCACCCTTACATGAAGTCCACTTGCCTTCTCATGCACCTCCTTCCTTTCTGAGTCTCCCGCTCTCACCGCCTCTTGATCGACGGGTATGAGAGCATAGGAGGTACAGAGCACTATCAGCCTCACACCATGGCGCTCTCCCTTTCTCCATTTTTTCTCCCCTGCTTGCCCTTCTCTCCTGTCTATAAACCCAACCCTCCACCACCTCTCTGGCGCCCGCCTGCGGTTGCGGCAGACCACTATGGCACAAGCACTTGTTGCGGCGTCGCAAAACTTCACTGCCCGTACCCCCCTTCCATCATGCCACGTACGCCATGCAGGCGGGTGGGGCAGAACGCTGGCCATGGCGCGCGCGCTCTGCCAGCTGCACGCGCACCACTTCGGCCCGCCCATCGGCGCTCGCGGTGAGGTTGCAACCGCTCTGGTGAGCGGCACTCACCATGAGCTTTCAACGCCCTACGGCCTGCCCATCGCTCTGTGAAGTGCCCACGAGAGTCTCGTTGCGGAGTCGTAGAAGCCATGAGCCATGAGCCATGAGCCATGAGCCATGAGCCATGAGCCATGAGCCATGAGCCATGAGCCATGAGCAGTGCTCTCACCACCGTTCAACTTGTGACGCCCGCAGTTGGGCTGCCGGCTCATGGGGCAAGGAGTGCGCCCTTGGTAATGCGGTTTTGGACTTCTCCCGAGTGAGAGAGGGGGGTTGGAAATCGAGCTGTTCCCCCAATGCTCTCAACTCTCCTACCACACATCATCATCACAACTTACTGTTGTGCGGCATGATAGGAGACTCTGACATGTGCTGTTACGGTTACATCTCTCCTGCACCCCACCCTACTTATCATCACCGCACTACCCCTCTGTCTCTCGCCTACTGCCCTTCCTGATCCCCCTCCTCTTCCAGATTCCCATGCCTGCATAGGTGCGTTTCCCGAGCCTCACGAGCTCGCAGGCTTGGAGATCCAATACCTGACCAGCAGGTGCGGGCTGGGATACCGAGGGCCACGGATTGCCAGGCTGGCAGCTGACGTGGCATCTGGTGCCATTGACCTGGCAGCGCTTGAAAGGGGCTGCCTGCAGAGCGGTGTTGACGTGGCAGTGGTGGAGTGGGGAAGGGTGGAAAGCGGGGGGGCGGAGAGTGGGTGTGGGAGGGAGGAGGAGGGCGGGATGGAACGAGCAGGAGACCTTGCTGCGCCTGCAGACGCGGGTGCGCACAGGGCCGTGGCGGCACTGGCGGCCCGCGTGTACAGCAGGAAGAGGAGGCGCGGTGCGCAGGAGCAGGGGTGTGCGGTGGAGCTGCAGAGGGGAAGATCGGATGGCCTGATGCTGCCAGCGGGTGGTGGCTGCGTGCTGCCGGCCGTGGAGGCACGCATGGTGGAGCGCCAGCAAGGGTGTAGTGCTGCAGTTGAAAGGCAGCAGTGCGGCGGTGCTGGCGCAGGCAGCCGGAAGGCGGATGAGGCGAGGGGGCAGGGGAAGGGCAGGGCGATGGAGGAGGCGCCGTGGGAGGAGGCGGCGAGGCGGAGGGTGCTGAATCTGCCGGGCTTTGGGCCGTATTCGTCCGCCAACGTGCTGCAGTGCATGGGCGTCTTCTGCTTCGTGCCCGCCGACTCTGAGACCATCCGCTACCTCAAGCACGTGCGTGCACCCGAGCAAGTGTCTTGCTGGACGCCCTCTCCTTCCAGCCTTCATTCTGCTCTTTCATTGCCGTACCGTGTAACACCTGCCTTCCAACCATGCCCCACCATGCCATGCCATGCCATGCCCCACCATGCCATGCCATCCCCCACCATGCCATGCCATGCCCCACCATGCCATGCCATGCCATGCCCCACCATGCCATGTCATGCCCCACCATGCCATGCCATGCCATGCCCCACCATGCCATGCCATGCCATGCCCCACCATGCCATGCCATGCCATGCCCCACCATGCCATGCCATGCCCCACCATGCCATGTCATGGCACCTGCCACTCGCACCCCCTCCTCCCCACAGGTGAAGGGGCATGCCTCGTGCACACCGCACAATGCGGAGTCGCTGGCAGCACAGGCATACGCCCCCTACGCGCCCTTCCAGTTCCTCGCCTACTGGTATGCTGCCCGTGCCATGGCGCCATGCGCAACGGTAAGGCTGTGCATCATGTTCTTCTTAGGCCTCTTCCTGCTTCCAAACTAACAGCTTTTCTTAAACGCGATTCCATACTGTGCCGGCCACCAAAGGATTGTCCTGGAATCCTGACACCCCAGGCCAATTACTTGCCTGCCATTACCTGTCACTCTGTTCAAGTCTTTTGGCACTTTTGCCATTGGGTGCAATCCTTTTGACGTGGTTGTTTGTGTGTTGTGTGATGCGGCGATGGCAGGTGGGAGATCTGGCAGGACTACGAGCGTGTGTTTGGGCCCATGGCCCACCTGTCACCATCGCGCTACCATCTCATCACGGGGCACAACATGCGCAAGGAAGGGGTGGGTAGATTGGAGGCACAGGGAGATGTGGATGCGAAGCTTGCTGGTGGCGCCGAGTGGGGAGTGCAGCCAGGCAGTGCTGGCGAGCGGTCCAGAGGCAGTGTAAGCAGCGCTGCCAGCAGCGGCACGCGCTCCTCCGATGCGGGGACCAGCGCTGGCGCTGCCATGGCGCACGGTGGAGTGGCACCAGGAGGTGGGTGTGCGCATGACCGCCTCCCTCATGTGCGCGCACCCCGCAGCATGGTCAGTGCGCCGCATGGCAGTGCGGCTGCTGTGCCTCCATGTGATGCCCGTTCAACTTCAAGCCGGGCTATGTCAGCCCGACGCCCTCCCCAGTCAACAGTTGGCCGTGCAAAGTCAGCCCGTGGCCGCGCGGAAGTACCGCAGCGTGAGGCCACTGGGAGGAGAGCGCGAGCAGCGACGAGCGGCACAGCAGACGGTGGGGGAAAGAGCGTGGCTGGCGCGGAGATGGGGGCTGAGGGGAGCGGTGAGGACAAAAAGGCGCGTGCAGCAGGAGCAGTGGCAGCTGGGGGGCTGTGCGGCGCAGCAGCAGCAGCACTGGCAGGGGCTGCTGGGCCCAGTGCAGCAGGTGAAGCAGGAGCTGCAAGCGGTGTGGCTGCTGCCATGGCATGTGTGGCTGGTGGCGTGTGCACGAGGAGCAGGAGCAGGCGCCTGGCACAGGGCTCGCAGCACAGCGAGGGGAGTGGTGCAGCTGCCAGCAGCCCCCCGTTGGGGCCAGTCCTTGGTGCGAAAGAGGGGGGGGATGTGAGCACGTGTAGGAAGCAGTGCGGGAGAGTGGCGGCGAGGCTGAAGGGGGTGAGCAGCTGGGCGTGCAGGGGGGTGCTGGAGGGGGGGTCAGGAGTCATGGTGGTGGAGGGGGGAGGAGAAAAGGAAGGAGGACGCAGAGGAAAGTAGGAGGGGGAAAGGTGGGGACGGATGAGATGGGGGGGAGGGAGGTGGCTGAGGCGAGAGGAGGGGAGCAGGAGATGGCGGTGGTGGTACAGACTGGTGAGGAGAAGGGGGGCCAGTGTGTGGGTTCGGAGGCAGTGAAGGGCGAGCAGCAGTGGAGGGAGAACGGGCAGGGGCTGCAGGGAGAAGAGCAGCGGGGCGAGGCAGGGAAGGGAGGGGCAGAGTGGGTGCAGGCATGGGGGCACGGGGTGCAGGAGGGGCAGGGCGGAGGGAGGTGGCTCTCAGGAGGCGAAGTGGGAGTGGCGGCTGCATGGGCTGTGGAAGCGGTGCAAGGGAGCAGTGGGAGTGAGCTAGCAGGCGGGCACGGGGGGACGGCTGTGCTGGTTGGTGCTGACAGCCACAAGTCAGCTGCCAGGTACCACCCAAACAGGCGGCTGCAGCTGTAGGACTGAGGGCGATGTTGAGGTAGGCGTGACACGCGAGCAGGCGTCAAATTTGAAGGGTGTTTCACCCTGATTGCCCTTGCCAGCGGCCGCTTTTTCAGGATCACCCTGATTTTGTAAGGACATTTTTTCGTGACCCTTAGTCAAAAAGTGTAAGATTGTTTTTGTTGTGATAAAATCGTACTTCAGCACTTTTGTGAGTAGTTCCGATAGATATCATCGAGTTACACTATAGTTAGCATCCGTAGAATGACGTCAGCAAATACAGTAATCCCCCGGATATAGGCACATCCCTTTATTTGGCCCATTGCGCTTATGCAGTGCAAGTGCGCTTACATCCGTTATTTCATTATAAGCGCACCCACATCCTGTAATAATTTGACAGGTGTTGTAGGAGACTAAGTATAGAATCTCCAAACATGAACACTTGGAAAACCTCAAGTGTTAGCCTAGGATCTTTACTGGAATGGTAGACTAATAAGACAGCGGAAGTCTTAGAACTTGTAGAGTAATGACCAGAATTTACTTAAGAAGAAATTAAGAACAAGTTCAGAATCAAGTCCAGAACCACGTTAACTAAAAATGAAGACAGGCTGCTTTTATATATAACAGAAGTACCTGTTCGCTAATGTACCTCTTGACACTATCGCGCTATGCGCTCTAAATGACATTGAAGAGACGCGACTGTTCGCGTGACTGAAACGACAGTCTTCAAGACGAGTGCTATTTGCTAACGTCATCTTACGGACTTATCTTCTACATTAGGATTCGACACTATCTATCAATAATCGACTTACAGAAATGCTAAGTATGAATCATATCACAACACTCCCCTTCATTTTTGGAAGTCCGATAGTGTCACTTTTTGAAGATCCCGCAAAGCTTGTTACAGTACAGAAACTTCTGTTGTGTCAGCTTCTTCGTGATTTATCGCTGTCTGCACAGCAACACTCGAAAGACTTTACCTGCAAGAGCTCTTGGAAGAAGCGAAGTTGACAACGAGTACTCAGTTTACTTTGCAGTGCGATAACCAAAGTGCAATTCGCATTGCGCACCAACCTCGCTTCGTCAACAGGACGAAACACATTTCATTGCGTTACTTTTTCGTCAAGGATGAAGTTGAGAAGGGGAGGATGCGATTGGTCTACTGTTCGACCAACCAAATGGCTGCCGATTTCCTCACGAAGAAGCTGACACAACATTTCCTATAGGCGCATCACTTTTTTGTATTAACTTATTGTCGTGGCATTGGGTTAACCCTGTCGATCTTCTCTCTCTCGCTAGGGAGGAAACTGTGCTAAACTTCATATTGTGTTATAAAATTGGTAGGCTTTGCAGGTTATCGAACTCTAGTGTAGAGGGTACAACTCCCTCCTTGTACGCCTCTCTCTCTTCTAGTTCTCTCTCTTTTCTTTCATCAACTTTCTCTCCTAGCTCCTAAACCTCTCGCCATTTCATGGCCACCTACCTTCCGAACAAACCTAGCTTTGTGACATAGAATCAGAGCTGTTCGCTCCTTGTGGGCCTGCTCCTCACTCTTCCGCCGCGCTCTTCTACTCTCTCTCTCTCTCTCGCTACCATGGCAGCCGCGTTGTACTGCTGTGGCCGCGTTGTGCTGCCGCGGCCGTCGCGACGCGCTGCCGTGGCGTCGCGCTGTCTTGGCGTCGACGTCAAGCCGTGGCGGCATCGATGTCAAGCTGTGGCGGCGTAACGGCGCCGTCGTACTGCCGCGACGTCTACGCGACAGCGTGCGGACGGCACGGACGTCTGCGGCCAGCGCCTCTTCTTAGCGCTGGCCAGCACGCCCGCATGCAGCCAGCGTGCCGCACGGGGCGGCACGCTCCCGGGCTCTGCTGCTGAAGCCCCGCCCCCCTTCCCCTGCGTCCCCTCTTCCTTGCCGCAGCCGACGGCTGACTCGCGCCGGCCGTCCCACCGTCGCGGAGCCCGGCCATGCTGCCGAGTGCTGCGAGCTCCACCGCCGCCGGCAGCTGTCGTCGAAGCCGCCGCCGCCGCAGCTGGTGCAGCTGGCCACGCCGCCGCACGCCGTCGCCGCCGCCGTTGTCGACGCTGCCGCTGTCGCCGCCGTTGTAGCCGCTGCCCTCGTTGTCGACGTCGCCCCACCTCACGCGCCATGGGGTTGACCGTGCTGAAGTAGCTGTCGCTGCTGCTGAGTATGGGGGTACTAGGGGGTGTGTGGCTTAGTGTGCTGTATGTGTGGTGGGCTTGCCGCTACCAAGCCTAGGGGGTGTGTTAAATTATATATTGTGTAATATAATTGGCAGGCTTGGTAGGTTATCGAACTCTACTGTAGATGGTACAACTCCCCCCTTGTATGCCTCTCTCTCTTTTAGTTCTCTCTCTTTTGTCTCGTCAACTTTCTCTTCTAGCTTCTAAACCTCTCGCCATTTCATGGCTGCCTACCTTCCTAGCTAACCTAGCTTTGTGACATACTGGGGAGGCTTTCCCTGGGGAAGCTAGATATATCGAGCCTAACCCTCCTGATGACTTCCCTTCTTGTCCCAGTGGTTAGGACTGGTGACTTTATGGCATGCTATCAGAGCCATCCGGGGTTCAATTCCTGGTGTACACATTATCCCAGAGTTGGGGTGTGTCGTGACATTGGGATAGCCCTGTCGATCCTCTCTCTCTCTCTAGGGAGGGTTATGGGGAGGCTTTCCCCGGGGAAGGTGGATATATGGAGCCTAACCCTCCTGATGGCATCCCTTCTTGTCCCAGTGGTTAGGACTGGTGAATTTATGACACTTATGTTAAATGGGGGTTTTATATATCAGAGTTCCTGCCGTGCCCCTCCCGAGTGCCTCTCGAACCAGTAGCGCGAGTCTCGCTCACTGTGTTGGCTCTGATTGGCTCGCCATTTCAGTCACTCCCGGATGGATCTGGTGGCAGAAGCTTTGTCAGCCACCTTCTCGTGTTTTGTCAACATGCTGCCCTTTGGAAAGACGCGTGCTAGAACGCAAAATTCGAGAACTACATTTTCACGTGCTCAAATATTTTTTCCATAAAATTCCTTTCATAAGCCCTGGGCTTATAAAAGTTATTCGATTACAAGCGCATGCCACTTTTGTTAGGTATTTCCTATAAGCCCCTATGCGCCTATATCCGGTGGATTACGGTAGGTAGCGCTCGTCTGGATGATTACGCTAGCAGGCCGTTTCAGTCACACGAACAGTTGCGCCCCCTTTTGGTAGTGATTAGAGCGGATAGCGCAAGTAGTTTTGAACATGTACATTACCGAACAGGTACTTCTAGCAGATATAAGAGTAGCTTGTATGAATTTAATTATTAACTTGTTCTTTAGTAAATTTTGGCCAACACTTACAAGTTCTAAGACTTTCGCTGTCTTACTAGTCTACCATTCCAGGAAAGATCCTTGCTCAAGTTTTGAAGTATCACAAGGCTGTAACACTGATTCTGGTGTTACAATTTGTTAATATTGATTATTACTTGAGGTACTTCCAGTATTATTTTCTACTTCAAGTACTTGCTTGCTTCGTTCCTCGACAACTCGACGAATCTCCAGCGCTTTCTCCTTTCATCATTTCTTCTTTTTATACTAACGCTGATTTTTATCTGCGATCAACAGGACACAAAGCAATAGAGGATATATGGCATCAACAGTTTGGTCATCCATCTCAAGGCATACTTAATCATTATATACGAGCATCAGTTCTTGATAAGAGCAATTTACTCTTACCCGATGGAACAGAGATGAAGCCGTCTTCCCGACCGATAGTCTGCACAACGTGCACAACTGCCAATCTTCCTCTTGAACTGTTTCCAACTCATTTTTTAGGATTGATACGATACACACTTATGCAAAAAGTCTACAGCGACACCCTTAACCTACCTGAAGCAGGACCTAAGGGGGAGCTCTATATGATCTCCTTTATCGAAGCTTCTACTCGACACGTTTGGACCGCCAACATTCCAGCTCGCCATATGGCTCACTCTATCTTCGTCGCATGGCTCGCGGTGGCTGAGAGAGAATCGACAGAAAAGCTTCAAGAATTTTAGGGTGACGGCGCAAAGGAGTATACGAACACAACCTTCACTGAGTATCTTCAAACCCTAGGCATCAAACGCCGAGGGTCTCTGCCACATTAACACCAACAGATGGGGGTAGCGGAGCGGATGAACAGAACGTTACAGAGAAGATGAGAGTCTTCCTAACTCAGGCAGTACTTCCACCGCATTTTTGGACTTCCGCTTTGGACCATGCAATTCTTCTGCACAACTTCCTGTCAACAACTTCTCTTCAACAAATTTCTTCGCCACACCTGCAGTGGACAAAAACATTCGGCAACACAAAACTTTTAAGGGTTTTTGGGTGTATTGTCCAATACCGACCTCCGACTGCAGCACTTGGAAATTTTTCGGAAAGGGCTAAGTGGGGAATTCATCTTGGCATCGAGAAGCAGTTTTACACGTGAAAATTTATGGATTTTTGCACGAGTCAAATCGTACCAGCACGTGATTGTCTTTTCTCCGAACGACTCACCTTACCTATTTTTCATGCTCACCAGGCATCAGCTGCCAATCCAGCCAGGCTGTTCGAAGGCTCGCGTGCTTTCGCTACGAGAAAGCTGAGGCAGATGTACACGATGAGTCAGTTGCCGAGTCTTCCGAAGCGGCTACAGACATCCCCGTGCCAGCCACGTCAGCTGGAACTGCCGAGTTTATTCCCCTCAGCGAAGCAGACTCTGAAGATGTCCGGGATGTTGTTCTTGATTACGAACGTGATCGCCAGCAGCAGCCCATGCCCGTTGTTTTCAAACCAGCTATCCGTGTGGCACCTGAAGAAATTGGGGGGGAATAGGGGTCATAACACAACTTCTCCGGTGTCAACTCAAATCGTCCTCGTTTTACAGAAACTAGGTTACAGGTATTGGGACTCGCAGTCGCAGTACAGTCAAACTGCAGTAAGACTCTGGAGCCGAAAACAGTTCGCCAAGCTTTAACAAATCCACACAGGGAAAAATGGCGAGAAGCCATGGACCGGGAGTTAGCACCTCTGGAAAAGCGAGGTACCTGGGATCTATTCCCACTGAAGGAAACAAAGGGGAGTAAGGTACTTACTGGCAAATGGGTTTTTCGTGTGAAGACGAATGCTGATGGTTCCTTTGAAAAATTCAAGGCGCGATGGGTTGTCCGCGGCTTCGAGCAGACTTGG